GTTTTTCCTTTAAGCAGGTTGGCAACATTGTACAAATCACCAAGCCAGAAGGAATCTACAATACTGTTTCAAATCACAGTCAGTATTATTTAATTAGAGTGGGATTTTTATACTTGTGGGCAGTAATTATCTGAAGAGAGCATTTCCAAATTGCTTCTGTTACCTTCTGTAGGCAACAAACATATTTGAGGGCAGCTTTTGAAGCTTAGAACATTATCCCCAAAATAGTACTGTATACAGAATACTCTAGTCATAATTGGAATGAAGTTTATTCTTAAGAACAGAGGAAATGCTTATTTGTAGGGTAGTGTTTTTCTTATCTGTACTGTAGGCTATTTCAGGTTTTTAAAGTAAAAGTTGCTAAAGGTTTTTCAGAAATGAAATACCAACACTAGCAATTTGGGTCTGTAGATATTATAGGTCTTACTAAAGCCATCAAATTCAACCAACTTTTAAATGTTAATTTTCTTTTGGATTTATGGTATAGAAATATATTTTTGGATTAAATATGAGTATTTGTCAATAGTATTGAGCCATTTCATTTTTATAAGAACCAAACCAGAAATTTATAAAAATTTTGGCAGAAATATGCATGTTTATAAAGTGTTGGCATCTCATTTTCTTAAGGACAAAAGCAGAAATTGAAAGAGATCCTGAAACTGAATTATCTTCTTAGTCTTGACACTGTCAGGGTTATTAGAATATTTCATTGTGGAAATAAATAGGAAACATGTCTAAGTAATTAGTATATGTTGCTTCCTTTCACCTCTTCCATCAGAGCCAGCATAAAGTTTGTTAGAATTGTCCATTAGAGATTTCATAGTGTAGTATTAATTATGTGTGTATATATATAATATTTCTACATATTTATTAATATATATATATAAAACCGTGTACTACAGCCATGGCTTAGACATCTATCCATGATGTTTATCCTCTTTATTCATAATGATTGATGACTTCTATCTAAAGAATAAAGTAAATCTCTTATTTAAAAATATTTATAAAAATATTTTAAATGTTCTTAAACCATACTTGTATACTTTTTTATGTTGCAGCCTCAGGGCTTTAGAGATGCTCTTGTTGCTACTTCATGTTCATCGACAACGGAAGTTTCACTGAATTCCCGGAAACGATCACGAGAATCAGAGAACCAAGCACAGTAATCCAAAAACTAATCTCAAAGTGTATCCAATGTATTGATGTTGTGAGATTCAATATGTGCAAGTCATAGACTTGTTACTTTAAAATATAAATTCTGTGGTATGAATGAATCAGGAATATACTGAAGCAAATGGGAAAAAATTAAGGAATTTGATTCTCTGCATTGTTTTTCTAAAGCAGTGTTCTACAATCATGTTTTGTCCTGTTTTCATTTTTAAGTTTTATTTTATTGTGAATTATGTGATAGTTTACCTGGGAGAACATTAGTTTTACATTCATCCTATCGTATATCATTTCATTGTCATGGTTACAATCCCCTCCATGCATCATCAACCAACCAAAGGGTATA